GGCCTGTCTCATGGGACAGTGTATTTGTATACCGGGCATTTTCTTTCTATAGATATACTGTACTTGAAAAAAAAAGTGTACCTTTCCCAAACCATGAGGTTGTGGGAAGTGCCCACAATATCTGGGTTGATGCATAATCTGTTTTTTTGCCTATAAAAATTTTTAGTACAATATGATTAGAAGAACAAGCTACAGTAGCCTTTTCTTATTTTGCATCGCTTGCACTGATTATCTTTAATAAAAATGCAGGAAGTTGCGGCTGTTTTATTAACTCACAGCCTGCATGCTTCTCTTTGGTCTTGTTAGATATGAGCTGGCATGTGTTAGACTACGTTAGCATTTGCTCTTGGGGGACTTCAGTGGTTTCTAAATTCAGCACTGCTAAGCCAGTCCCTGTTTGCTTGAATCAATCGAGACTGCTATTTTTAGCAACAAAAGGGAATTGAAATAGCAATTTTCTTTCCATGTAATAGATCCCCAAGTGGAATACTGATGCAAGCTCTCTGTCATTTTCTGTTCTCCCCACCCCCAAAAGCACTTGGAGGAAAGGCAGCTGTCATGGTTTGCGGCAGTATTAATCTTTAATCAATCGAGTGTTTTCTGCATTCAGGTGTTCAGGGGAAAAAAAAGGGTCACGACAAGGAACCTGCCTGGAATAACTAAGCTCTTATGCATGGGCTCTGCAGTCAGAATTTAGTAGGCAGTGGCAGGGAGTAGACAGAAGAGCTAAAAATAGCGTGTTTGCTGCCAGTGCTCCTTTATTCTAGCCTATTTTTGATGTTTGATTTTGATAAGTTGATTGGGTACTTACTAAAAATATCTGTTCCTAGCAAGTTGAGGACAAAAAGAGTAGAATATTTTTAACCTACACAAACTAAAGTATTTTTGTTGACTGTATAAAATCTGGAAGCTGAGCCCTGGTCAGTTGCCAGTATTTTATATAATCTGTAACAAGCTAGACACTTTTGGATGCCAAGTTGGGATATTCTTTATATTTGTCATTTTCCATGTTCTCAGAGGCTTGCAAATTTGGGTTCTGGTATTGTATTTATATATGAAGACATAGCCTTTTTTATTTCCCCCCTCCCCGCTTTATGTATTCCTGTAACCTGTAGGACTGTGGGTAATACCTGAGGCTATTGGTTATGGCCAAAACCTGTAGCTTTTTTCTGTGTATTGTTGAAAAGTACTTTAACTTATCCATTTACTTCATAGCACAATGAAAACAGAACACCCAGTGTTCACTGAAGAAGCAAAATCTTAATGACAAGAATAGTGAATTGTCACTACTTCTGTAATTTGGAATGCTGTACTAAACCAAAATGCTTCCTCTTCCCATCCCCTAATTCTGTCCTGGATTTATTAATTTCATATCCACCCTGCCTCATTGTGAGTGAAGCAGTTCCCTCTAACACTGAAAATTACCTCTTTTCAAGGATAGCCTCAGAATCCTTTGAAAATGTATATCTACAGATTTATCATAAAGTGAAACTTCGTTACATTTTTTAAAATTTTATTTTAGATCACTGATTCTTGATGTTGAGAGGGATTGAAGAGCATACTGAGTTGTGTACAGTAGGTGATTGGACATTATTTCATTTAAAAAAAAGTGGGTAAAGCAGTGGGCAATGTCATAAGAGGCTAGTTTTCCATTCATAGTCTCCTTTTATTCATTCATCCAGCAAACCCTCATTAATCATCTGCTTTTGCCAGGCACTGTGCTAGCAGTTAGACTGTGGTGGGAAATGAGTAAAGGAAACCTCATTTTAAATGGGAGTAAGGAGCCCTGAAGGAGGAGCTGTCAGGCCCTACCACTACTCTTCAGTTTCATGCCCCAGGAGGAAAAAGGATAATTACAGGGAAGAGATGACCGTGTATTTCCAGCATGCAGTGTCTCTACTTTATCATCCTAGTGGATGGAAGGGAGATTTTCTCCTTGCCTAGCAACAAGCCCAGCCAATGGGAAGCCATCACTACCCTGCACTCTCACTTTCTTTCACGGACTTTCATTCAAAACACTCCATCTTAACTGCCTCCTTTTTCTCTATTAAGTAACTTCCCTCTTCTTTGTTTGCTGGACTTGCCTGTAGCTTTTGCTGTAGTTTGATTGTCCCAAATTGCAGTTCTCTGCTATTCTTGAATAAGCCCATCTTTGCTGGTAAAATAACTTTTTCATTTTTAAGGTCAACAGGGGCAACTGAGACCCTCATGGAAACCTATATGATGAATGCCATTATGAGGGAGTACAGAGTGTAAGGGGAACACAGAGCTCTGAGGCCTTGCTAGTCTAAGGGTTAAGGAAGCTTGATGGGAGAGGAGATATTCAACTGAAGACCTCAAGGATGGGAGGAAGACACTGGTTGGAATGAAATTGAGAGTAGAGGGAGCTGCGAGGAGAGAAATGTTTTCTTTCTTTGTAGTGACCTGGAAGAGTGGGGTTGGCGGAGCTTGAACCAGGCTTTGAAGAGAGAGGAGATGAGGTTATGGGGATCTTGGAGAGAGCAAAAAGTTTATCACAGATAGAAGGAAAAGGAGAGAGTTGGAAACATTAGAAAATGTTTATCCTTCATGTGTGAAACATTAGTGAATCAGAAACAGGAATATAGTATAAAATTTGAGTCCCCATATACTCCTCGGCCACTACAAAATACTCATGAAAAGTTACAGAAATGTGCGATTAAATTAATCATGAGGTTGGAGGAGCTTTCATATGATGCTTAATTTCACATGGGTTCTACCATAAATGTTTAAATCCACGAGTTAATAATGTTTCTTATAAATAAAACCACAATGATAAAAACACATGGGTTACCTTTGGAAGATGCTAGGGGACCAATTTATTTTGAAAACTGGTAAACAAAGGAGAAAAAAAACCAAACATTTATCTAGTGTTCCCATGCAAACTCTGTATCATTTTAACCAAATAATAACAAATCATTTCTCTATGGAAATATTCCAGCTAATAAATGAAGATGGAATGATAGAATTTAAATATCACCATTTTGCAATCTCTAATGAAATAATGTGTCATCAATAGCTGCTAATAAAGCAAAAAGAAAGATAATCAGAAATATGTCTCCTGGTGCAAATAGGCAATATTACTTATAAAGTATTCTTACCAAAAATTAAACCTGAATTTGAGCAAGCATCTATAGCCAACCACTAGGGGACAGAAGGGCTTGTTAAATGACATTGGGGAATGCAGTCAGCAAATGCCAGGCTGGGAAAGTATAAACATATTACCCGATATTTTCAACGAATAGGGAGAAGACGAGGAGAGGGAGAAAGAGGAGGGAAGGAAGAGAGAGAGAGAGATGGAGATTAAATAGATAAATAGATATAGATAGATAGATGGATAGAAAGAACCTATAGATTAAAAGAGACTTAATAGACATTAAACCATTTTTAGGTATGGAACTTAATACAGATTCAACGAAATTATTTGAAGTTTTTGAAACATTGGAGAAATTTCTATACTGACTTGATATTTAATGTCAAGGAATCATTACTTACATTTTTGGAATGTGTTAATGGTATTGTGGTTATTTTTAATAACATAGATTGTGAAATACTTATAATGAAGTGATGGGCTATTTGGGATTCATTTCAAAATAATCTGAGGTGGAAGGAAGCTGGTGGGGATAAAGCTGATAAGCAAGATTGAGCTCGGGTTGATGATGGGTGAACCTAGGTCATGGCTACATGGGAGTTTGTTACACTGTTCTCTTTATTTTTGGATATGTTTGACTTTTTAAAATTCTAAAATGTTATTTGAAACTGGAAAGATGAAGGCCAGGCAGGAACATGATGAAAATCTAAGATTATGAACGACATGGCTAGAAAGAATATGGATATGTTTGATGTATTTCTGAGTAGTAAAAGTGGGGGCCATCTCATGTAAGAACTGGTTTTAGGACAAATACAAGAAAATCCTATTTTACACCATAACTTGTTTTCCATAAACTGTAAATGGTTTGGAAAAACTCCTAGAGATGTTTGGGGAGCATCCCTAACCCTTAAGAGCAGACAGCTGTGCTCTGAATTTGTAACAAATACGATTTCAGTATTTCAGAGATACTATGGTGTAGGCTAACCCATTATAATTATCAAATGTTTCTGATGCCTAAGTGTTTTGAGCTTATAAGAGGAATATGCTTTTCCATAGAAGAAATAGATGTTATTCAATTTTCTTACTACCTATAATTTTAAAAAATTAGTTTATTGAGGTATAACAGATGCTGTGTGTACTTAAGTGTATACAGCTCAATGAAATTACACACACACGCACACACACACACACAAATTACCCTGAAATATCCCTTGATGCCCCTTTCCTGTCATCTACCCCCTTACCCAGAGGTAACCAATATTCTGAATTCTATCATCCGTAGATTAGTTTTACCTGTTTTTAGACCATCATAAATGGAATCATAACAGCTTGTACACTGTTCTGTCAGGGTTTTTTCACTCAACATAATACGTCTGATTAATTTGTCCATGTTTTGCATATATCAGTAGTTTGTTCTTTTTTATTGCTATTTAGGATTGCATTGTTTGAATATTTTAATTTACATATTCTCCTGTAGCTTAATATTTGGGCACGTCTACCTACTGTGCATGAACGAAGCTTCTGTGGACATCCTTACTTCTTAGGAATTGCTAGGTCATAGGGTAGGTAGGTACATGTTTAATCCTGGACATAATGGCAAATAGTTTTTCCAAAATGATTGTACTTTGGAAATACAGTGCCACCAACAATATATGAGAGTTCCAGTGGCTTCATACCCTTATCGACACTTGGTATTGCAGTCTTTTTCATTTTAGCCATTGCGGTGGGTTTTCCAGAGCTAAATTTGAACCCTGATACTGTTCCAGGTGGTTCAGATTTACATCAAAGTATTGCCAGGTCCTCTTGTGTTTGATTGGTGAGTCCTAACTATATATGATCAGTTCTTCATTGTAATTCTTAAACTAAACTCTTACTTTTTCTCTTTTCTCAGTTGTCACAGGTAGTACTGATGGAATTGGAAAATCATATGCAGAAGAGGTAGGTCATTTTCCAGACCTTTCTTTTTGTTATTAAAAATACAAAAACAAAATAAGTATAAAACTTTCTCTCCTGGTAAGTTGGAATTGTGAAAAATTTAGTGTAATTTTATTTTATATTGTGTATAAACAGTTTTTGGTTTCTATTTATTTAAATTTTATTTTTTCAGTTACAGTTGACATTTAAAATTATTTTATATTAGTTTCAGGTACACAGCATAATGGTTATACAGTTATATAATTTACAAAGTGAGTCCTCTGATAATTGCAGTACCTACCCGCCACCATACATAGTTAATACAATATTATTGACTATATTCCCTATGCTGTACTTTACATCCTCATGGCTATTTTGTAACTAACAATTTGTACTGCTTAATCTCTTCACCTTTTTAACCCAGTCCTCCCAGCCCCCCTCCCATCTGGCAACCCTCAGTTTGTTCTCTGTATATATGAGTCTATTTCTGTTTTATTTGCTCTTTTATTTTATTTTTTAGATTCCACCTATAAGTGAAATCATTATGGTATTTGTTATTCTCTGTCTGACTTATTTCACTTAGCGTAGTACCCTCTAGGTCCATCCATGTTGTCGCCAATGGTAAGATTTCATTCTTTTTTATGCCTCAGTAATATTGCGTTGTGTATATTACCACACCTTCTTTATCCACTTGTATATTGATAGGCACTTGGATTGCTTCTATATCTTAGCTATTGTAAATATTACACTGTAATGAACATAGAGTTTTGGATTTCTTCAGATGTATACCCAGAAGTAGAATTGCTGGGTCATAAGGTAGTTCTATTTTTAATTATATGAGGAACCTCCATTCTGTTTTCCTTAGCGACTTCACCAATCTGCAATCTCACTAATAGTGTACTAGGGTTCTCTTTTTCCCACATCCTTGCCAACACTTTTATTGTTGTTGATTTAATGATGATAGACATTCTGACAGATGTGAGACGATATCTCATTGTGGTTTCAGTTTGCATTTCTCTAATTAGTGATGTTGAGCATCTTTTCATGTCTATTGGCCATTTGTATGTCTTTTTTGGAAAAGTGTCTGTTCAGGTCCTCTGTCCATTTTTTAATTGAATTGTTTATCTTTTTGGTGTTGAGTTATGAGTTCTTATAAATTTTGGATATTAACCCCTTATCAGATGTATCATTGGCAAATATGTTCTTTCATTCAGCATATTGTCTTTTTGTTTTGTTGTTGGTTTCCTTTGCTATGCAAAAACATTTTAGCTTTACGTAGTCCCATTTGTTTATTTTTTCTTTTGTTTCCCTTGCCTGAGAAGATATTTCAGAAAACATATTACTAAGAGAATTGTCAGAGAGCTTACTGCCTGTGTTTTCTTCTAGGAGTTTTATGGTTTCGAGTCTTACATTTGAGTCTTTAATTCATTTTGAGTTTATGGTGTATATGCTGTATATGGAAGTATATTGTGTAAGAAGGTAGTCTAGTTCCCCTCCCCCCCTTTTTTTTGCATATATTGGACAGTCCTCAGTTTTGAACTGTTTTCCAAAAGGTAGATATATTATTATATAGGCTATATTTCCAGGCCAGTTTAGGGTATCATTTTCATCAGAAGGACTGTGATTGACAGAAAGATATTGGCAACACAGGCCAAGGATTCAAAATCTCTGTAATGTAATTAAAGGATAGGAAACCATAATAGTTCGAAGACCATCATACCAAGCAGGAACCTTGGCAGTACTCTTCAGGTAAGCTTCCCTGCCTTTCAGTTCCATGAAGGCACCCACAGCCCAGTTGTGATGAAGCTCCTGTGATTTACTGAATCTCTCATTTGTCATTGCCGAAGGTTCTTTTTAAAGAATCGTCCTTTGTTTTCCCTCCTTTGTATCAAAACTACAGAAAAGTGGCAAGAAGACTATAGTGAACACCCACATACCCTTCACCGGGATTCATCAATTATTATTTGCCACATTTAACTTTCTTTATTATAATTATAATTTAGTTGGACTGTTTGTGAGTTACAGACATCATAACAATTCACCCCTAAATATTTAGCCTGAATCTTCTAAGACCTAGAATGTTCACCCTTATAACCACAATACAGTGGTCAGACATAGAAAGTTTAACTTGATACAATACTATTTATATAACATTCAGCCCATATGCAGATTTCCCAATTGCCCCCAAAACCTTCCTTATAGCTCTTTTATTTGTGGTTTCACATCCAGTTAAAGATTATGCATTGCATTTAGGTGTCATGTCTCTTGACTGGAATAGTTCCCTAGTCTTTTTTTTTTTTTTTTTTGGTAACAGTGGCATTTTTGAAAAATCCAGGCCAGTTGTTTTATAAAGGTTTCTCGTTTTGGATTTGTCTGATTGTTTCCTCATGATTAGATTCTGGTTAATCATGTTTTAGCAGGAATGTGACACAGGTGCTGTTGTGTGCTGACTTTATCTTATCAGGAGGCACAAGAAGTCTACTTGTTTCATTACTGAATTCGTTAAGACAAATCATTTGGCCCTGGCCTGGTAGCTCATTTGGTTAGAGTGTCTTCCCCATACACCAAGATTGCAGGGTTCGATTGCCGGTCAGGGCACACAAGAATCAGCAATGAATGCATCAGCAGTGGAATGATAAAAATTAATGTCTCTCTCTCTCTTTCTCCCCCCCTTCCTCACTCTCTAAAATCAATAAATAAAAAATTTTTAAAAGATAAATCATTTATGAAAATGCTGCCCACCATAATTCTCCATTATAAAGGTACCTTTCCCCTTTGTAATTAATAAGTAATACAGGGGGCAGTACTTTGAGACTGTATGAATATCCCATTCCCAACAGTTTTTCACCCAGTGGTTTTAACATCCATTGAAAAGTTTTGCCTAAATTAGTTATTGCTGTGGTGGTTTTAAAATGGTGATTTTCTAATGATACCCTTCCTTCTACATTTATTAGATGCCACTTTTCTATAAATAGAGCTTTTCTTTACCCTTCCCCCCCAACTGAAAAAACACCAACATACCAGCTTGGACTCATGGGTTCTTTAGTGGTTTTACAAATTTAACAAATTAAATTTAACAAATTATTACCAACCTTTGTTATTTTTATTAAAAAATGTTCCATATCTTCTCATTTGCAGTATTACTTATTACTTAATAAAAATCAACTTTAGGATTTAAGACTGGAATATTAGTTTAGTAAATCACTGGTGAGAGTTCATAGCAGCTAATTTATGGCTCATTTATATGCTGTCTGGAATAGTTTGCTAAAAGTTTTGTGTGTATTAGTGTTTTTCCTCTGCCCCTCTATGTATGTGTCTCTGGAGTAGAAACCAATTTCCTGTAAATCTTATTTGCTCTACGCAGCACTCATACAGTGCTAGGTAAGTACGTAGAAGGTGCTCCTCAGAAAATGCTTTATTAGTTTACCCAGTTCACTCTCTTAGTTCGTTGTCCATGAAGTATAATGCTTCAATAAAAAATTTAAAGTCGATTTTGTCTTTAGGAATTCCTAACATTTTAACTATAGTTTTCTTTGCCATCCCTCCAGTCTTTATGTATACTGTCTGAATAAAAACTTTTTCTAAAGTTAATTTTTAAATTTTAGAGGTGAAAGATAATTTTGATTTTAAAAATTCAAATAGTATAGACAGGCACAAAATGAAAAGTAACAGTCTGCTTTGTCTAAAACCCTTTGGCATTTATATACTAGCTTGATTTAGAAAGATAACCATTTGGGGAATCCTTTTGTAAAGTCTTCATTTCGGATTGCCCATTCATTATACTTGGGTTTGTTTTTTTAATTTCGATTATCACATGGTGGTCAGGTTTTCTTAAAATGAGAATATATCTAATGTCTGTTTGTAAATGGAAAGCACAGGTGTGATTGAACTGTTTGGTGTCTCTTTTGCTTTTTCAGTTAGCAAAGTGTGGAATGAAGATCATCCTTATCAGCAGGTCGCAGGATAAACTGAACCAGGTTTCCAGCGAAATAAGTAAGTGCCCACATTACCCTCCCCTTCCCTCATGATTAGAAAATGAATACAAAAGCTTTTTCATTCTGTTAACAGGCTATTTTAAAGGTGGGTCATCAGTTTTTCAGATTAATATTGGGCTATTGTAATTTGCCTAAAATGTCCTTTACAGACTCATCTAGTTTGTCAGGAATCACATTCTCTGATTATTTTATTATGTTTACTTAAACATTTTCTGTTGCTTCATTTCAGTATTCTCATATGTTTTTTACTCATGACTTTATTGTCTCTAAAGTGTGTATTATATATGATTGAAGAAAAATGCAATAGGTAGCATATATACATGCGATAGGGAAACTATTTTGAATTTCCTTCTTAGTCAGCTGTGCTTGAAACCTGAATTATATGGACAAAGACTTTTTAAACTGACATCTAATTAACCAACCAGATGGATAAACCAGTGCTGTCTGTATCCTTGGGAAGACTTACTGACTGGTGTTCCCAGTAGGGAGCCTGTGGCTGGTAGGCCTCTCAGTGTGATGTTTGTACACTTTTTTTTTCTTTATTTATTGATTTGAGAGAGAGAGATATCGATATGTTTTTCTACATATCCATGCATTCACTGGCTGATTTTTGTATGTGCCCTGACCAGGGATTGAACCTGCAACCTTGGCATATCGGGATGATGCTCTTCCCAACTGAACTACCCAGCCAGGGTAGACGCTTGTGCACTTTTACACCCACAAGTCAAATTATTTACTTATGAAGAGTCAGTTGTGTTTGTTCCCAAACTCACTTTTGCTGGGTGCATTTGTTATTAAATATTCTGTAAACTGATGCAATCTTGGTGTAAAAAGGAGAGTTCTACAAAAACTAAGTTGAATGCTCTGGAAAACAGAAAAGCGAGTTCTTTGAGAAATTGGCTGTGGAATTAGGGTCTAACAAGACAAGTGTAAAATATTGTAAAAATTTAAAAAAAGCAAGAAGAAATTTGCTCTCTGATTATTTCATTTGTGTTGAAGCTTTCGCTGCACTTTAAAACAACTGGAACTGCCATATGTAAATGATGCATCATGGGTGTGGTTTAGGCAAGAAAGACTGGAATTCTACTCAGGAGGTCTGAACTCAAAGATAAGGCGTTGGCCCTACACAGAAGACTGGTGAATGAATATATTTATATATGGTTTAAATTAAAATAAAATGGTTAGAATGTGTATTTAGCATTCTGTAGGATTCGTTGCTTTAACTGACTTCTCTAAGTATCCAACTAACAAACTGCCCCAATTCTTTGGAAAGAGGGGATTTCTAGTGTATTTTATTATTATTTTTCCCACCTTTATTGAGACATAATTAACATATAAAGTTAAGTAAGTTTTAAGGTGTACAACACTGTATTTTATTAACATTACCACTTACCACTAACATTTATATAGTGCTTTATTATTTATTTATTCCCTCACGTGTGTTATCCCTTTGATCCTTCAAGCATCCTCGTGAGGTATATATTTTTGTTGTTATTTCTTTCCAAACCAGAGCTTGTTCTACTGGACAGGTTGCACATAGATGCACTTCATTTTTAGGTGAAAAATGATTTTTATAGATTCCTAATATTAAGTGTGTTAAATTTTTTTAACCCTGCTGAGAGCACAGATCTTTACAAAGGTGAGCGTATGGTATATAGATATACAAGAAGTCTTTGGCATTTAAGGATTTTACGAAATGCCACCCTGAAGGTCCAAGACACAGAGTATTTTGCAATTTTGCTGAAGTGTGAATTTGAATTAAGCTGTGACACTAATGAGCCTAGGTGTAGTTACTTAGATAGTAGTTACCTTTGCATACTGTCTGGATCTTAGTACTGTTTTTTTTAATCCCCACCCAAGGATATGTGTTTATTGATTTTAGAGAGAGGAAGAGAGATGTGAGAGAGAAACACAATACAATATACAGATGATGTATTACAGAACTGTACACCTGTAACCTATCTAATTTTATTAACCAGTATCACCCCAATAAATTCAATTAAAAGAAATAACTTTTCAGTCAGTATCTAGTCCTGACTACATGAATATATTTCATATGCTGAGATGATTGTTTAATATTTGTTCCACTAAATGTGACACAGGCAGGCTGATTTTCTTGCAGAAATAAACCCTTTTGTAAATGAAGACAAAAAAAGCTCTCTGACGTCTGTGTTTTTGTACCCCACTCCTGATTCCATTTTCTGTACCAGTCGGTTTAGTCAGGTAAAAAGTCTAGCAAGTTCCTTTCACTAGGCTGACTTGTGTCCTCTGGCCCAGCACTTCCACTAACTGGGCGGTTAGACTCCTCCCTCCTTCCTCCTCCCT